TTCATTAATTAAAATATGGTCATATATATGTTGTACCCTTTTCTACTTATTTGTAGTCCTTTTTAATTTACCTAAAAAAAATTATAATATCTTAAATCAAAAGGAGCAATTTGATTTAAAATTATAAAAATGTATAATTAATTTAATTAAAATAGCTTAAAATGTAAGAAAAAAAGTATAAAAAAAATATTAATTTTGAAAATATAAATGACGAAGATTTGAGATAAAAGAAAGTGTAACATTAGGAGTGTTTAAAACTGAACCAATTCAAACAAAAAATTGTAAATTGATCCAAAAAAAATTGAAAACCATTAGAAAACTGCAAATTTGCGATTTTGTTTGGCTTTTAAATTTCCAAAACCACACGGTTTAGTTCGATTTTTGGATTGGAATGTGAAATCAGTCCAAATTAAATCAAATTGCACTTATTTGTAGATATATGTTTTTCCAAATGCATAATATATGTATACAAAATTGACACATAAGATAAAAGATATTTTATAAACTTGTAAGCTACTAAAAGATGTTGTTTTCTTTAAATATACATTATAATATTTTAAAGATATTTTATAAAATTCTAAACTATTAAATTGAATTTTAGGAAAAAAAATATAAATTATTTATAACATTTTAAAATAACATTAAGTGATAGGATATGTGTGTGTCTATATATATATATGAGAAAAATATTTAATATGATAACTAAAATTGTATTAAAGAAATATTATTACTAAAATGATAAGATAAGAATTAGTGTTAAATACATTAAGTGTTCAAAATATTTTAGTATTTATATACTTTTAGTTTTATTCTTGAAGTACGATCTTAAAAAACTAACATAATATTACATATTTTTAACTGATTTTTAAATGAAAAATTTTAAAAACCACAAAACCAAACCAAACCACAAAAGATTGATTTGGTTGGTTTGAACTTCATAATTTATATAAATCGAATCAAACCGAATTGCATTTCATTTTTTTGTTTGGATGACTTTTAAAGTAAAAATTGAATTAAATTGCATCACGAACACCCCTAGTTAAAATAAACAAAACTAGAGATTTGAAATAAAGTTAAGTATAATGGAAAAATTAAAAATAATTAATAATCATTAATCTTTTTAAAAGGTAAGTTTTTTTTTATATATATATTAAACACAAATAATTATCTTAAGCGAGAACACTTTTAGGACTATAATTCAATAACAACATTTTTAAGAATTTTTTTAACTTATTATCTAAATCAATTTTTTTATTTATCATATTTATTTATGAATTATAATTTAATATTTTTTAAAAACAAATTATCAAGAATTAAAAATAATCTTGTATCATAATATAAATTATTTATTTATCTTAAATTAAAAATATAATAAAAATAAATATTTAT